AATTCCTTGTGTGTGTAAACATACTTGGTAATAAAGCTCTTCTGATTCTGATTCTGATTAACTAAGGTTAACTAATGAGGTCTTATTGTAAAGTGATACCTATTGGTCTTTATAGTTCTTTTGCACTTTAATCTGTGTAAAACTTTTAACTTTATACATTTTTCTGTATTGCTTTATTGCATTTAAATGTTCAGTTATTTTTGTTATAAGAAAAATGTTATTAAACCTGTTATACTGTATTATGACAGCACTTTTTTAAACTAAATTTCAATATCGTGATAATACCGCATACAGTGATAAAAGCATTAGCAATTAATCGCAACATGAAGATTTGACACCGGCATATCCCTACGCCGGAGTAGTGTAAACGACAGGCGTAACCGTAGCAAAAGTTATGCATTTTAAAACAAAAATGCACTAGTGTAAACGGGGCCTTAGAATTTTCTCATGTCTAAATTGTGTCTACTTTTATTTCTCATAAGGAATCTTAAGAGAAACATCTGAGACACTCTTGTTACTAAAATGAGAAATATATGAGAATCACAACTAAGTCTCCTGAGCTTAGAAAGAGCAAACTCTTAGCAATAAAATATTCCTATAATGGAGTCTTGAAAGAGATTAAAGCAAGACAGTAAAGATATATTTTATGTTTCTTTCACCACATTCTCGGTTTTGACTTCTTTTTTTTTTTCTCAAACATTTCTCGTGTCTCATTTGTGTCTACTTTTATTTTTTAAGGAGAAACACCTACAATGCTGTTGATATAAAATGAGAGATAAATAAGAATCACAACTAAGTCAACTGAGCTAAGGAAGAGCAAACTCTGGGCAATACATTTTTCCTCTAATATCTGAAATTGAAAAATCACCCATTTATATTTGGGGCGGCGCCACAAGGGTAAGTGTGAGGGGCTTCGCCCCCTCAACAGGACAATCTGGCCCAATCAGTCAAGAACTAGCATTAATATTAAGTTAATATACAAACATTTTTATTAAGGACAGTCTGTTTCACAAAGTCACATTTTAATTGACACTTTTGAGACATTCACCTACATTCCCACACCACTAAGAATTTTTCCATGTTTAGAGGGCTAGATAATTTGCCATAGTTAATTACTTCACTTTATTCTTTTTGTTTGACATTGTTTGCCGTTTATGCTGTTTTAACTCAATATGCATCTGTTAAACGGGTCAAAATGAGTGTGTTACGTTATTGAAGCGGTCAAAATGAGTGTGTTTTATAGTAAAGCAGAATCAATAAATTATATTTGGTGGTGGTAGTACAGTATCATGGTAACTTTTCTGTATTCATGGCAAAATCAGTTGAAATTGTGTATTTATATCTGGTGGTCTAAAACATGTTTGGTCCTATATCATGTATATCGAGTCAAAATTTAGAATATGTTGGCCTAGGCAATTTTATTCAATGCCATCTTTGCTCTGTGGCTCTTTTTAGTTTCATAGTAATGACAGGTTTGTTTACACCCCAAAAAAATAAATAAATACGTGAATGACCTATTTCATGAATAGTTTGGGGTACTTCATGTTACGTCATCACCACCTTTTGTTACTCCTGGTGCCCCCTCTTAAGTGCTGTACTGGTGCCGGCTCTGTAATAATATGTTAAACCTGTGTGTGTTCATGAAGAAATGATAAAAACTCACCTGATACTGTCAGTGTAACTGCATCACTGATGTTTGATGTTCGTGGTCCTCCTCTCTTTTCTCCATAACAGGAGTATTTACCTGCATCAGACTCAGTAACAGGACTGAATGTGTGTTCCTGTAGTTCACTGAAAACACTGACTGAACCATCTTTATACCAGCTGTACTGCCAGCTAGTGACTGCTTCACCATCAATGTCACATCTGAGAGTGACTGTCTCTTCTCTGAATACATGTTGATCAGGTTTAATGCTCACTTTTGCTTTTGGTCTTTCTGTACAATGACAACAAATCACAATGAAAAAATAATGTTCTGTTTTTACTGTACGAACAGTTACTTGATTTTAAAACACACATGCTAAATCAGGTTAGACTGAAATGCTGTTATAATCACTGATTCAGTGTCTTGTGAATTATTTTCATTGTGTTCTCAGAGCAGTTCATTATGTGAGGATATTGTCACTGTAACTGGTTCATTGTAATTTGTGTAAAGCCCTCTTCTTCGTGCTCTGCACCTGTATTCTCCTCCACCAGAGACTTTCAGTGAATCGATTGTTTTAGTTGCGGCTTCAGCAGATTCAGTGTTTGTGTTTTTACTCCAGATAAACTCCAATCCATCCCATGACTGATCCACCTCACATCTCAGAGTAACTGAGTCTCCAGTGAACAATAAACTCTGTGGCTCAACAGTCAGAGTTGGTGTGGGAATATCTGTCAGTATAAAGTCATTGAGAATTTAGAAACATCAAACCTGAGTGTTGAATGATTTTCAGCAGAAAATCTTGTCCTCTCATTGTTTAATAACTACTGTACTTTGATTTCATTTTCATTTGTTGTCACACCTCAGTCTTAAAATGGTGCATTTATAATCTTAATAAAATGTAACACTTATTTCTCAACTCTCAGTTGGTTTGTAAGTCACTGCAGAATCAATATCTCTATCCCTTAGGCAGCTGTGGCCTAATGGATAGAGAGTTGGACTTGTAACCCGAAGCTCGTGGGGTCGAGACTAATTTCATGAGTCATGAAATACATGAATCAATTTGACTCACCTTCAGTATGTTGAGAGTAGGTGTTTGAAATCAGCACTAAAACACAAAGAGAAGAAACTCATTAAATTGTGAACACATTTGTCTATTTTATGTTAACTTATAATTTGTCTAGAGCTAATTAGCTAATTAAATAGAGCACAGATGATGATGATCTGGTTAAAAAAAATCTGATTTAAAACATGCTAAAATAAAAAAAAAATAAAAAGCTTGACCTGTTTAGATTGAGTTTTGAGTGAGTTTCAGTTTTAAGGAAGCTGAGAATAAAAAAAAAAAAAGATAATTGCACAGAATAAAAGAGATTAAAACATATTAACAGTGGAAATGTTTCCAGATAAACATTAAAACATCTGACTAATATCAGAGGTATCTGAATATTTATTAGACAACATGGACAATAACTGCAAAACAAACCAACCATTACAAAGCACAAAACTGAATGACAGAACAAACACACTGATCTACAGCACAACAGAGTGCATTTCTCTTTCACAAACAGCACTAACTGCACACTTCCTCTCTCAAAATCATCTTTCACTCATATATCATGGACTAGAGCTGGATTTGAAACTAAGAGCAGCAATAATAATAATAATAATAATAATAATAATATCCAGCAATATATATATATATATATATATGTGGCAGTCTGCTATCAAAAGCTTAACACAACGCCAACTATGGCAATAAATAGACTACGCCACCCCGGAAATAGGCCGGGGACCCACAGGTACACCAAATACCACAAGCACACAGATGCGTAGTGGCTGAA